GTTTGGTAACTAAGTAAGATTTCTTTCTGTGGGGGCTGGAGCGATAGTACAGCAGGTAGGGCGTTTGCCTTGCATGCGGCCGATGTAGTTTCTATCCCTGGTATCCCATATAGTCCCCTGAGCACCGCCAGGAGTCATTCCTGAGTGCAGAGCCAGGAGTAGCCCTGTGCATCGCCAGGTGTGACCCAAAAAGAAAAAAAAAGAAAAAGATTTCTCTCTGAAACAATAAGGCATGTAGTGCTTATGTAATCAAACCCTATACAAACTGCTTGGGGTCGATATCAAGGGATCACTCTGTGGAATGAGATAGATAACTATGCTACAGTATAGCACTGTAGCACTGTCCTCTCACTGTTCATCAATTTGCTTGAGCGGGCACCCATAATGTCTCCATTGTGAGACTTGTTGTTACTGTTTTTGGCATAATGAATACACCATGGGGAGTTTGCCAGGCTCTGCCATGCGGGCGGGATATTCTCGGTAGTTTGCCGGGCTCTCCAAGAGGGACAGAGGAATCGAACCTGGGTCGGCCACGTGCAAGGCAAACGCCCTACCCGCTGTGCTAAATGTCCAGCCCATATGATAAAGAGAACAAGTAAATAAATATGGGGCAGGCTTATCTTGTCCAGCCTGTCAGGCGAGAACCCAGCGGTATAGAGCAGGAGCTTCCTTTGCAAGCATCTAGGTGCAGTGTCTGCCATAGAGCTCCTCAAGAGCAAGGAGCTGGTGAGAGTCAAAGTCGTATCTGTCACTGGGGCAAGTGACAGATAATACAAACTTGACCTGGTTGAGTTCCAGTACCTCTATGTCTTTTCATGGTTTAAAGAGCGGGTCAACTTCCCATTCCCAAACTACCCCGTTGAGGAGATCACCATGGACCCTGACTGAACATTGAACTTCCTCGTCAGATAAAAGTAACAAGGAACTCAAATCCAAACACCAGAGCCAGAAGATGGGTTTCATATATTATCTGTGGGGATCTGCTCCTCTATTTCCCCCAAGCAAACTACCTTTCCACTTACACATAAACTGCTGAAGAAATCATCTATGCTTCTCCACCTCAAATCTTGTGCACTGTTTGTCGCTGACAGGCAGATGTCTATCATCAAAAGTAGAAGGGTGAGTGACCAGAGCATGCACAAGCCCGTAGGTTCAATACCCGGAACTAAGTGACCACCTGAGCACTGCTGGGCACCTGGTACTCCCACCTGCCAGTCCTGCGAGGAAACTCTCCTCAAAACAAACAAACAAACAAACAAACAAACAAAACCAAAACCAGTATACTGGCATAAAACTCCTACTGCTTTTGCATTATCGAGTTAGTGTCTCCATCTACTGGCTTGGGAACCAATAGTCCTGGGCTTACCACCCCCAGCTCAATCTCAGGGGGCTGGGGGCAGGACTGGGGGCACCAACCCTGCACTTTCTAGGCCTATATTACCTTTTCTGTTAAAATTCATCTTTGCCATTGAAATAATCATTTGTTTAGGGCCCAAAAATACTGACCTGAATTGGGTTGTTTCAGTCAATGTTTATTTTATTTTATTTTTTAATTTTTCTGCTTTTTGGGTCACACTCAGCAAGGCTCAGGGGTTACTCCTGGCTTTGCACTCAGGAATTACTCCTGGCAGTGCTTGGAGGACCATATGGGATGCTGGGGATGGAACCCGGGTTGGCCGTATGCAAGGCAAACGCCCTACCCGCTGTGCTATAGCTCCAGCCCTCAGTCAATGTTTTTTTTTAAAACGTCTGTGCTCTGTTTAGAGAGTGTTAGTACTAAAAATCTCCTGGGGCTGAAGCCCTGAGGTATTTCCCTCTGAAGGGTACAATTAAAAAACTTACACACGTGATATTAAACAGTCTTGTGTCTGGATTTTCCTGTGGCTTTCAAATATTGACCAAATAGTTATCTTTGGGGGCTGTGGGTTGAAAATAACAATGGAGAGAGATGAATGGCCTAAAGCAATTTTATTGATTTGCCATGAATGGATGACAGTATCCACTTAGAACTAACCCTGCTTATCCGAAAGGTTGTGAGGGCGTCGGGAGGGCTGAAGGGTGAATGTAGACAGTGAGCTGGAGAGGAAGAGAAGAGTTTAGTGCCTCACGCTGTCCCTATCATCAGTCTCAGCCCCAGGAAGCTGTTCTGTTGCATGTGGCTTTGTGTTTGTTTGCCTTCTCGGCCCAGAGAAAATTAAAGCAAACTCCATTCAAAATAGAAAGTTTTACAGTGGCTATATCTATGGTTGTCAATAGGGCAGGGTGGTGTGTGAATGGAGGAGGCTATAACGTATTAAATGTTCGTTTAAGGGACTGGAGTGATAGCACAGTGGGTAAGGTGTTTGCCATGCACGTGGCCGACCCAGATTGCCAGCATCCCATATGGTACCCCGAGCACCGCCAGGAGTAATTCCCGAGTGCATAAGCCAGGAGTAATCCCTGTGCATCACCAGATGTGACCCAAAAAGTGACCCCCCAAAATAAATAGACATTTAAAAAAATCTAATAATCGGGGCCAGAACGATAGTACGGAGGGTAGGGCACTCACCATGCACGTGCTGGACCTGGATTCGGTCCTTGGCACCCTATACAGTCCTCTGAGCCTCAGCAGGATTGATTCCTCAGTGCAGAGCCAGAAGGAAGCTCTGAACACTACCGTTGTGGCCCCCCAAACAAGCAAAAAATGGAATAAAATAAAGTATGAAATGTAATAAAACATAATTACATCTATTCATAAAAATTAAAAAGTTTTATCTGAGCTATTAAGAACTAGCATTTTGCCTTGAAACCTACACTTAAAAAATTTACTCATGGAGCAAGAGCAGGTAAGGTAAGAGTACAGCAGGTAAGGTGCTTGCATGCAACCAACCTGGGTTCAATCCCTGGTACCTCAGAGCACTGCCAGTAGTGATTCCTGAGTGCAGAGCCAGGAGTAAGCTCTGAGCACTCCCAGGCATAGACAAAAAAAGAGAAAAAAGCCAAACTGAGTCTTGCAATATTAAAAAGAGGAAATAATTTCTTTCCAGTTAAAAAGAAACTTTTTTTAAAACATGTTTTTCTTGAGGGTGAGCTTTCACAGCAACACCATGGGTCCTACCTCCAAAAACCTGCGAATGAAGATGTCAGTGAGATACAGGCACTCTGCTGCTCTCTGAAAACAGATCTCGGTGCTGCACATGCAAGGAAGGCACAAAGCTGAGTCTATCTGCAGAGTATTTGATATGGGGATGCCGGCTACCATGTCAGTGCTCGGTGCTCAGGGATCACTCCTGGTGAAGCTTGGAGGACAATATGGGGTGCCACGGATCAAACCAGCATCTGCTGCACGCAAAGCAAGTGTCTTACCTGTTACTCCATCTCTCTAACCCAGCCGCGTATTTCGAAGTAATTTATGGAATGTATTCAGCTAGCATGGACATCTGTAGCTGTTCATTTTTATAGAAATCTCACATGACACGGAGAAAGAGAGAGAGCAAGAGAGCAAGAGTGAGAGCAAAACAGAGAGCAAACCAGCGAACACAGTGAGAGCCAGGGACCTGAGAACATATAAACAACAGCAGTTTCTTTCTTTATGACTGTCTGCAGAAACAGACTTCTCCAGGTTACTGCATTTTTTGCCTTTTATGGAGCCCTGATTGCAATATAAACTGCTTTAAAAAAACCTAAACACTAGAGATCTGAGATAGCCGCGTGCTTCAATGAGCCTGAGGGAGCGCGGGAGAGAGAGGCAGAGCACGCACACGGACCCGTCATTTCAGTATTTCTTGCAAAATTGACACGTTGTAGGCTGCTGCCAGTGGAGTTGGGGACACAGCTCCAAATGGGTCTCAGGCTGGTGAGCTGAAAGCAGGTCTGTACCGCTAACCCCCCATCGTCCCAACGCCCATGCCCCCCAACACCCACCCGACTCCCCTACATCTGGTCCTCTGTCCTCTGTCATGCTCAGGTCCATCCTCCTCAACAACTCTCTGCACCTCTTGGACAACCCCAGAACCTTCCACAAAGATCTGGGTGAATCTGGGATGGGTGCCCAGACACTGAGGGCACCTCAGCTGTCCTGCAGGGGTGCAGGCAGGCTGGAGATGGGCATGTACCCAGGAGAAGCAGCGCAGCCCCGCACACAGGAAGCTGAACTGTGTAGTGTGGAGCGGGGTCTGTCCACAGTGATGGCCGAGACTCCCTTTGCTGCTGGCTGCTCTGTGAATGTTTCTGTGGTTTTTTGTTTTTCAAAAGGAGCGCACGTAAAAAAAAGAAAATCACACGAAATCTGCCACGTGGCAGTAAGAACCGTCGTGCAGACACACTTCCTCCACAAACATCTGCGGGTTGACTCAGGGGTCTCCGCATCCCTCCACGAGACCTACTAGTGATGCTAAGAACAAGTGCCGGAGACTGGAGTATGGGGAGATGAGACTACCCTGAGGTCTCATCTCAATTGGCCATGCGAATTGTTTGGAGGCAATTAGGAGCCAGCAGACTCGGAAGGACTTTTTTTTCTTTTTTTCTGTTTTTAAGGCCATTCCTTGCTGTGTTCAGGACTTCCTCCTGGCTCTGTGCTCAGTGATTACTCCTGGATAGCTCAGGGGACCATAGGTAGTTCCGGGTACTGAAAGTGAGCTTGTTACGTGCAAGATTAAAGTGTTACTTTAATCTCTGTACAATCTCTCTGACCCTCATATCGTTTCAGTGACTAGATTCAAGAACCTGAATGGGCAGAAGGAAAGAATTTTCCTGTAGACACGTGACACCTTGTGATTCAGTATTTTCCACAATACCCTTGGATAAGCTCATTTAAGAGTTCCCAGTATGAGATGTGAGCGTCACAGACACTGGTGATGTGAGCTGTGGGGAGCTGGGTCTCACTCCTGGCACCGGGGACTCCAGCTGTGGCCATGGTGTCCTGGCAATCCTGAATCCGAGCGGCTCTGAGTACAGCTCCCCACCAGCATGGCCTCAGATTCAGCAGATGTTCCCTGTCCCAAATCACAGGCCAGGCTACCCAGGGTTTCAAAATATTTAATCCAACACAGAAACTGGCATTTTCGAAGTTAGGTTTTACAAACTATGACACATTCTTAGTATTAGCAATTTACCTATTTATACATTATCCAAGAAAATAAGACATCAAGAAGGAATGTAGGAGTTCACTGGAAGCACTCTGCAAAGAAGCATCTAAGTTTAAGTGTAACAAACCACTGTGAGCACTTTGAACTAAGTACATCAAAACATTAGTTAAATACAATTCTCTGGAAATATACATTATACCTACAATTGTTTTTACAGTGAGATTCTTCCAGTCTTTGTCTGTTTTTCTCCTTTAATTCTCAACATGGCAAATCACTGTACGGTCCTGGACCTCCAGGCTATGAAACTGAAGTATGTGTTTCCAGCATAGCAGATGGTGACCAGGAAGGCAAAGAACTGGAGAAAACAAAGCACAAGAGGAAAAGCTAGAGACCACATCCTAATTGTCAAGCTCCGTCATTCCAGCTCACTGAATCATGCACTCACAGCTGTCCCCATCCTAGGCTTTCTTCTCTAAAACGACTTTACTGGTTCAATGACCTTCCTTTTGAAGCAAGTGTGTGTGTGTGTGTGTGTGTGTGTGTGTGTGTGTGTGTGTGTGTGTGTGTTTGAGAGACAGAGACAGAGACAGAGAGAGACAGAGAGAGATAGAGAGACAGATAGAGAGACAGAGACAGACAGAGACAGAGAAACAGAGAGAGAAATGGATAGAGGGGGGAGGGAGAGATGAGGCAGAGAGGAAGAGAGGGCTGGAAAGTTTGTAGTTTTGCACCAATAACCACGAGGAGTCTGTTGGGGGGCATTTGGTGGTGGCTCCGAGAACAGCAGGTGTATTTCTAATTCTGTAGGGGCAACTGTAGATCAGGGCTTGACCTCACATCGCCACAGTATCAGAGAATATGAATAAGGAGTGTGGGAGGCAGAGGAGGTGAACCCACAGTGTGTGAACTGTGTGTGGATGGTGGGGGGGGATATGTGGGTCCTTCTGAAGGGGCAGCCACCAGGTCAAGTTGCCACTTGCAATGTATTAACTCGGGTCTGGTGCTAACAGCTTAAGAGGTATGAACTCTGTGTATGCAGGCGCTCTCTCTCTCAATTTCCAAAGGTGAGGAAAGGTGATGAAGAAAGTTCAAATGTCGGCAATCAGCTCTTCTCTTACGGAGAACTACTTTTAAGGCCAGTACAGACAAACATTTATTTATTTCTTTTGGGTTTGGGGTCTCACCCAACAGATAGCAAGCACCCTACCTGCTATACTACTGTTCCACCCACACACAATTTTTTTTTTAATTAGCAGTTTAACTTATAAGTACACTTATGGTTTAAAAATGCAGGTGGAGACCGGGGATGTGGCTTAGTGGCTGAATGCTTGCCCTGCGAGTGTGAGACCTGGGGTGTGATCCCTGTTACAGCAAAAAGCAAAACACACACACACACATACACACACACACACACACACACACACACACACACACACACACCAAAAAGAGAGGAAAGAAAAAAAGCTAACAGCACAGAATTCTAGATATTAAGAAGCTGAAGTCCCTCCTTCCACTTCTATATTGGACTGCAGCCCCTGGGAGGAACCAGCATGTTGGCGAATATCTTTCTAGGCATTATAATGTATAAATAAACATTTCTACTTCTTTTTTAAAAAAATGAGGTAGGGGTGGGTAATGGCACTAAAGAAACAGCTCAAGGTGTCAGGGTGCATGTCAGAGTCCTGGATTTAATCCCTGGTACCACATGGTCTCCTGAACACTCTTGAGAGCCTCCCCCAAATAACCAGTTACCCCCAAATAACCCAAAAAATTGAGCCAGAGCCACCCAAGTGGAATCATAGCATGCTCATCCCCCAAGCACTGCATTTCTCTCCCCGCTCCAACAGGAGGCAAAACTATTAGAATGTCTCAAACTCGTGTTCCCCCCAAAGCTGACTCAGTTCCAGCCATTGATGCGGCTCTCACTCAAGCAGTCCCTCAGTTCCTGGGCACTGCAGAGAGGTTCCCCCCCAATCCCAATCCCCCTCCAGTAGGATGCTTTCCATCCTGAGGCTGGCTGCACCCCTTCAGTCCTGCAGGAAGGGCTCTGTCCCTAGGGGGCATCAGGAGGAGGTCACGGGAGGGGGGTTTTCACTTACCGAGGAGGCTGCCCAGCTGTTGAAGTTGTGGCTGTTTTTCTCCGAGGAGACAGAGGAGGCATCCACGACTGCGGCCGAGAGGTACAAGATGAAGGCACTGCTATTGAAGCACAGGCCCTGGGCAGAAATGGGGATGGGGGAGGAGGAATATGGGGACGGGGTGTTAGGGAGCTTTACCCTGTTCACCCTGGACGGGAGGGCAGGGTTCAGGGCTGTGTGAGGACCCCGGGTCAGCGCCTTGGGGAGAGGTGATCTTTGCACCTGCGCAGACCCAGTACAGGCTGACTGCCCCGGCCCTAGGCAGCATGAAGTACTGGAGAGGGAGGGAGGTCGCCTTCCCAGCACCACAATTGCTCATGCTGTGGAGAAGGGAGAGGGGGAGAAATCTCTTACCCAAAATTCAATACTTCTTTGATACTTTCTCTCCCTCCTTTTTCCCCCAAATGAAGACAGAGAGATCATTGCAATTAACTGCTTTACCACACTTTACCAGTGTTTCCCAAATTGGACTAGGACTATAATGTCCCCTACAGGGAATGATGGGGCAGGGGGTTGGCAGTGGCCTCAGATGCTTTGTGCTCTGTTCTCTTCAAGACAGATGGGCCCAAGAGATAGTACGGCAGTGGGGAAGTACCACGGCCCCAAGACACATATGGTTCCCTGATCCCCGCCAGGAGTAATTCGGAGCACAGCTGGTGTGCCCTCAATAACTGCCCCCCTCTCAAAACAAAAGGGCAGCTCTCCTGCAGGGGCACTGCATGATTCCCCCCTAAAAAGCAAGTGACCAGAAGCCTCCTGAACTACACCCTATTCCTGGAGTCAACAATGTACACGACCTCATCTGCCAGACTGCTAATAATGCCTCACCCGTCTCAGCACAGAGGAAGTCACTTCTTTCTGTCTCACAGCGGTTTCCTGAAGTCTAGAAGCAGACTGCTGTCTGCAGGGGGTGAGGGGTGGCAAGCAGACTCCAGGGCTGGTAGCTGACGCTGGCAATAAAGGACCTGCCTCCGTTTCGGACTCTCAAATACCCTCAGTGCCTAAGATTCTTTTTCATCTGCAAAGCAGATATCATGCACCTCTGCCAAGGGGTCGGGGGGATGAAATGATGAAAAAATAAACACACCAGCAGGCGCTCCTGAACACAGTGGCATCTCATACACGCCAGTGCCAATGCCCACCTGCCCCTCGCATGGCACCGACACCATATGGGGTGGTTGCAATCGGGTCAACGGGAGAGGAATTCTCAAGAAATGCAACTCCTCAGACCCTGGTGGTTCGGGTCATGCAGGGGACAGTCAATGGCTTTGAAACTTCTGCTCAAATCAGTTTCATCAGAGGGGCCAGAGAGATCGTACAGAGGGTGAGGTGCTTCCTTGCACGTGGCTGACCCAGATTTGATCCCCGGCATCCCATAGGGTCCCCCAAGCACTGCCAGGAGTAAGTCTGGACTTCAGAGCCAAGAGGAACCCCTGAGCATTGACGGGGTAGGGCCTCAAAACACAAAATCAGATTTATCAAAAAGCATAGCTGTAGGGGCTGGAGTGGTAGCACAACGGGTAGCACAACGTTTGCCTCACACATGGCTGACCCGAGTTCAATTCCCAGCATCCCATATGGTCCCCTGAGCACTGCCAGGAGTAATTCCTGAGTGCAGAGTCAGGAGTAACCCCTGAGCATTGTCAGGTGTGACCCAAAAAGCAAAAAGCAAAAAAAAAAAAAAGAGTTACATATGTTAGGGACGATAGTACAGTGCATAAGGAGTCGCCTTGCACATAACTGATCCAGTTTCCATCTCCAAAACCCCATCAGGTCCCCCGAGCGTGCAAGGAGGGATCCCTAAACAAAGAATCAGAAGTAAGCCCTGAGCACTGCTGCTGGGTGCAGCCCCAAAACTGAAAAAAAAAAATTATGGATGTCAAATTTCTGTGAGGTCTCAGAAAGGAGACACAAACTGAGCAAGAGCTTCTGTCTTCTCTGGGGTATTTGAAGAGACGTGAAGACAGAGTGTGCTGGAACACACAGGCCACTAGCGAGGCCTGGACAGAAACAGGAACTTGTTACTGAACACCCCACGGAAGCAGACCCTTGTGACCAAATGGCAAAGAACGGATCGGGCTGAACCCTGCCCCCAGCTATTTGGTGGAAGCAGAACCGGCAAGAAATGAGACTGGGCATTTTTAGTGGAGGAGTGATTCGGCCTTGCTTGGGGAGGGTCATACCCTGCCAGTGCTCAGGGCTCCTCCGGCTTCATGCTCAGGAGATTGCGGGATCTCAGGGGCTGGAGAGAGGCTGCCCTCATGCAAAGTGATGCATGTAGGAGGCCCCTTACTCAGCTCTCATTCTGACCCAGCTGAGGAGACTTTTTTTTGGTGGGGGAGCACATCCAGCAGTGCTCAGGCTTACTCCTGGTTCTGTGCTCAGGGTTCACATATGGGTGCTGCAGAGCAAGCCCTGGTCAGCTATGTAACACACTGTACTTGCTCCAGCTGAGGAAAAAAAAATGTTGAGGAAATCTCTTGATTCCTCTTGACTGCTTTAAAAGAGGGGGGTGGATCACAGAAAGATTTGTTAAGGATAAAAAGAACTTGATTGGGGGCTGGAGTGACAGCACAGCGGGTAGGGCATTTCCCTTGCACGTGGCCGACCCGGGTTCGATTCCCAGCATCCCATATGGTTCCCTGAGCACTGCCAGGAGTGACTCCTGAGTACAGAGCCAGGAGTGACCCCTGTGCATTGCTGGGTGTGACCCAAAAAGCAAAAAAAAAAAAAAAAAAAAAAACCTTGATCGTTGAACTTTTTTTTTTTTCAATGTTGAGTCATACCTGGTGGTTCTCAGGGGCTATTCCTGAGTCACTGGCTGTGTGTTGAGGAGTGACCCCTGAAGTAACTCCAGGGACTATATGTGGTACCAGGGACGGAACCAAGGTCAGCTGCATGCAAGGCAAGCACGTTACTTCCTGTACTACTCTCTGGCCCTCGCCTCTCCCTATTGCAAACAGGGTTGGAAAGCTTGTTCTGAGATACAAAGGCAGTGGCCAAAACACTGGAGGAGACCCCGGAGCATGCCCACCCTCCAGCAACAGAGAACTGGGCAAAGGGGCACCAGCAGAGCATCTGCTGTGTGGACAGGACAAGGCAAAGGGACAGTGGGAATGGCCCTGAGTCCCACAGGGCTGACCCAGATTGTTGGCTGGCTGCCATCTGCGCTATCATTAAAGAAAAGAGAAGTATGAACTGTCTGAATGCCCCCATACTGGGCCCCAGGCCACCCTAAGAAAAACCTGAAGGTGGGGCTGGAGTGATAGCACAGCGGGTAGGGCATTTGCCTTGCATGCGGCCAACCCAGGTTCAATTCCCAGATTCCCATATGGTCCCCCAAGCACTGCCAGGAGTAATTCCCGAGTGCAGAGCCAGGAGTAACCCCTGTGCATCGCCAGGTATGACCCAAAAAGAAAAAAAAAAATGAAGGAAACTTGAAGATGGAACTGCCATCCCCATGGACCTGCAGGGCTGTATAAATCTTGAAGACTTGTCCTCCATTTACTTGAGGAAGTACTGGGCTTTCTCAGGCCACCTCTCTTCCATCCCCCCATATCCCCCTTTCTGAAAGACTGTCTGCCCCATACCCGACCACCAGGCTATGTCAAAACAAAGATGCGTCTCTTGTCTCTCATCCAAGGCTGGACATGAGTTTTGTGGCAGGCTGAACTGCACACCCAGTGTCTCCCATAGCTTATCTAGATGCCACTGAAGTGACAGTGGAACTTAGGTTCTATTCAATGCCTGAATGGCTTCAGCTGCTGGGGGATGCTGAGGGCAAGAATGTACTGTGCAGGTATGAAGGGTGTGGGCACATATAGTTGGGTCTGGAGTTAGGGACGTGGAGACGTGGTTGAGGTCTGAGTCCTCCCTGCAGGACAGAGAGTGCCCCTGGCAGAAGATGCACGCGAGCTCATCTGTCTCTCTGCTCAGTGACAACACAGTGGACAGTGGTCAGCTGAGGCAGGGACAGGTGCTCACATGAGAAACTGACCAGTGACATCTGGATCTTGAAATCCGGGACTCTCAAACTGACAAAAATAACTGTCTGGTGTTTAACCTGCTATTTGTTATGCAGCCCAGCCAGTGAAGACAGGGATTAGAGCCAACACGCTTTCTCTTCGATTTCCTCCGTGTCTTTCTCTTTGATTTCTCCTCTCTGTTTGCATCCTGTTGGGGCCAGGACCAGAACCCAATTCCTCCTGATCATGCCTGTCTTAAAACATGAGGAAGCTGACTTACTCTTACAGTATTTATTGCTATTTTTCTCTTTTCTTTATTTGTTATTTTATTATTATTATTATTATTTTATTTCTGTTATTTAGTTTTGGTTTATTGGTCCCCCCCCGATGGTAGTCAAGGCTTACTCCTGGTTCTGTGCTCAGGAAACCATAGTGGTGCTGGGGATTAAACATGGCTCAGCCATGTGGAAGGAAAGCACTTTACGGGCTGTACTAGCTCTCTGGCCCTTGATTTATTTCTGAGAACTCTTTGCTACTGTTGGAAAGGAATCCTGGAACTTCCGAAGAGGCCAGCTTCACCCGAAGGCAGACAACACCTGAGAGGCACTGGGTAACAGAAAACCCTAGTTTATCTGCTGTGTTGGGTTTTGTCCTCTGTTTTGCTGGCAGAGAGACAACCCTGAACTGTCGAGCAGAGAATTAAATTCCATCCTTTGTAATGACCATGACCACCGGGTTTCCTTACCACAGTTGTCCAGGGCACCTGGGGAATCCTGGTGTAGGTCATTGTTATGTAGATGATGAGGAAGAAGACGGTGAGGACCCAGTAAAACACAGCTACAAACATGACCCAGCCAAACGCAGGCACCCGGAAGTACTCTGTTCCCGCGATCAGGGTCCATACGAGCAGTCCCAGGATCTGTAGAACGACGAGTGGAGCAGAAAAGGAAAGTGAGGTAGAAGGAAGCAACAAGGAGAAAAAAGTGGAGAAGACAAGAAAAAAAAGCCACATTATTTCAGTAGCAATGACAATTCTTTCGTGTGTGTGTGTGTGTGTGCGCGCGCACGCGCGTGCGCGCACACACACACACACACATACTCTGATTTACAAATCTTATACAATTCACAAGTTCATATGCCTTTCAATGCTAGGAGGGTGGAATGAATCAACATAGCAGGCTGGGGACAAAGACCAAAGGCAAAGAAGAAAAATTATGGGTTTATTTTGTTTCATAGTTTTTGAACCACATCTAGTGATGCTCAGGGGTAACATCTGGCTCTGCACTCAGGAATTACTCCTGGTGGTACTCGGGCGACCAGATGGATGCCAGGGATCGAATCCAGGTCTTCTGTGTACTAGGCAAACTCCCAACCTGCTGTACTATCTTTCCAGCCCCAGTCTACGCAAGCCACTCTAGCTGATGCTGTGGGAAGGTTTGACAGAGCTGCGTCTGCTTTTTTTTTAGGAGAACAGAGCATGTTTGTACATGACCATTTTGATTTTTTAATGTACTATAAAAAATATTAGCACTATAAAGTTTTTTTTTTCAAGTCATTAGGTTTTTTGTTTGGGGGCCATACCTGGCAGTGGTCAGGGCTTACCCCTAGCTCTGCACTCCTGGTTGGGCTTGGGGATCTGGGGATTGAACCCAAGTTGACCATACGCAAGGCAAATTCCTACTTGCTCCAGTAGGAATACCATCCCTCCAGCTCTTTTGTTCGTTTTAAGGTGCCAGAGGATTGAACTCAGGGCCTCAGACATACACACAGAGCCATACTTCCGGAGACATATATCCTTAGTCTACCAAGTTAATTCTGTTGTTTGTTGTGCTGGGGATTGACACCAGGAGTCACTGCAAGTAAGGCGTGTGCTTTACAACAGGGCCACAACCCCAACCCCCTACAAATGTTTTAAAACAGCACTGGAGGCAGGGGCAGTGACGTGACAACACACACCATGGCTAGAACTTGCTCGAAGGCTGATCTTATCTAGGGAACAAGCCTGCAGGGTCTCTCTGGGTGCGCCCTGGGAGGGATGTTCTCCTAGGAACACACTCCCATAGGGTCCCTCAGCTGCCAAACCCACTCTTCCTGCAGTGGCAAATAACACCTGGCCTGAGAGCTTTCCGGACAAAGGCTGGAGAGGTAGTGCAGGGGGTAAAAGCAGGCATCCTGGTTCAAATCCCCAGCAGTGAGTGAAATGAGTCAGAAGGAGAGGGACCGATAAGGAACGATTACATTCATTTGTGGTATACAATAAATACATAGTAGAAGACTAATATCCAAGGCCAGGGAAAATAAGAGCTAGGAGGAGGATTGGTCAATGGTTGGAATCTACCAACTATGTGTGTGTGGGGTGGAGGGTAGCTAAGAAAAAAGAAGGGAGCAGAATAACAATAATTGTTGGAAATGATCACATTGGATAAGAACTGAGTGTTAGAAGTAGGTAAAGGGATGGATATACACTACAGCCTTTCAGTATCTGTATTGCAAACCACAATGTCCAAAAGGGGGGTGGGGAGGTGGGGGGGGGGGAGAGAGAGAGAGAGAGAGAGAGAGAGAGAGAGAGAGAGAGAGAGAGAGAGAGAAGTGCCTGCCATAGAGGCAGGCTGGGAGTGGGGAAAATGGGAGGAAAATCGGGGACACTGGTGCTGGGAAATGTACACTGGTGGAGGGATGGATGTTGGAACACTATTGACTGAAACCTAATCATGAACAGCTTTGTGCAGGTGATCTCACAGGGATTCAAGTGAAAGACAAATCAACCAAATCCCCAGCAGTGCCACTTACAGTACCCCAAGCACCACTAGGGTCACTCCTGATCAGAACCAGGAATAGCCCCGAAGCACCGCAACCCAGCAAAGAAAATACCAAAACACCATAACATGTCAGGACAATGAGTGCGGGCCCCTTTCAGACCTGGGCATGAAGCAACAGCCCTGAATCTACACCACTGTGGGCAAGACTAGAACCAAAGCCCAATCAGCATCAACCTTAATGGAAGGGCTTCACTGAGAACCACCCTCCCTCTTTCTGCCCCCCGGGTCCAACACTCAAACATCGTCTGCTCAGGGCTTACTCCTGACTCTACACTCAGGAATCACTCTTGGCGGTGCATGGGCGACCATTTGGGGTGCCGGGTATGGAACCTAGGTCGGCCACATGCAAAGCAAGTGCCCTACCCACTGTACTATCGCTGTAGCCCCTTGTCTTGATTTCGAATAGCAAATTCAATATATTTTGTAGTCACCTTCCCAAGTGGTACTCAGAGAACCCAGGGGCTACTTCCCAGTGTTCTCAACTAATTGTGCTGGAGGTTTGGTGCTAGGGCCCAGGATGCGGGCCTTCTGGGGCCAACCCAGAAGTTCCTGGGGGGGTTGGGGGGGCACATGTGGAACAAAGCCAAGAGTCTGCATTGAACACTCAAGTATCTACAACACACCAGGCTTCCTACGTGACAGGGAGGATAGCGCAGGGTGCAGAGAACAGATTCTATGTGCACACATCTCGGCCATTCTAGAAAGTACTTGAATGATTGCGGGGAAACCTATGAAGGAAGAAAAAGTCTATGGTTGGGGTCTGTGGTGGGGATATATGGTGGTGGCCCACACACCCTGAGCCTGAGCGAGACCCCACAATCCCCCACCCCAAGATGGCAGTGGAAAAGCTATAAAGTAGACAGACTGGGCAGGGCGGAAGGGCTTCTGCCTCCCTGGGCACTGATGTGTGGATTCAGGACACTAGCGTGAGCATCAGAGAAGCTGGAAGGGCCAAATTTGTGGGCTCAGGGGTGGGGTGGGGTGGAGGTGGGGGTGTCTAAAGTCTTTGTACCTGATGCTCAGGCCGGCGGGAGAGTGCTGAGCGAGACAATAAGACCAGGTGACCTTTCCTGATCCCACTTTCTGGCTGCACGGTGACAACAGACACAAGAAGAGGAGGAGGTGGGTGTGAGGAGACCAGACCACCATGGAAGCCTGAGGACTGAGGAGGGACAGGAGACAGGATAGTGGGCATGGTGCCTACCATGAGGGCCTCCTGGATTCGATCCTCAGCACCACACATGGTCCCTCAAACCCAACCAAGACTGATCCCTGAGCACAGAGCCAGGAGTAAGCCCAGAGCACTGCCAAGGGTGGTCCACATAAGCACAAATGCACGTGTACGTACACACACACACACACACACACACACACACACACACACACACACACACAGAGCCCCAAACAACCAAAAACTGAGGAGTGTATATAAGTTAAGACCCAGTTAAAAAGCTAAAAGGATCTTCATAGATCAGAGAGAGGAAAAGGAGGGGCCAGGACCACGCGAGCGAGACCCTGGGACCATCTGGGAAAATGTGTGTTGGGGATTAGAGTCATTTCCTTGGGTGGAACAATGAAACGGGAGCAGGCTAAGGGGATGATGAGAAAAGCACAGGTCTCCAACTCCCCCTGTGGAGGAAGCTGAGATCTGTGTCTGTCCAGGTTTTTGTTTTGGGTGTTGGGTTTTTTGGAAGGCGGGTGGCAGTTTGGGCCACACCCAGCCATGCTCAGGGGCTATTCCTGGCTCTGTGCTCACGAGTGACCCCTGGTGGTGCTCAGCATTGGATGCATGCAAGAAAAGTGTCTTAACTCCACGGTTGTCTGTTGTTAGCTAATTTTCCTGGCTACACAGAATGATGCTCAAATAAGAAGCCCCTAGCAGCTGCTGCAGCCCTGTTCCCCAAGCCTCAGAGTGTCTGCATTTCTAGCAAGTGCCCAGCTGCTGCTACTGCCCCTGTTCCAGGCCCACTGGGTGGGGGCCAGGGAGAAGGCGCAAAGGGCTGGTGCACATGCTTTGCATGTGGGAGGCCTGGCAGTGCACGGTCCCCTGGGCACAGAGCTAGGAGTGGCCCCCAAGCACCTCTGGGTGTGACCCCAAAACCAAAACAAACACATCATGTTTTACTGATTTGTAGAGACTCTTCCTCATCCAGCAGAGGTTTCTAACTTCAGGGAGGCTTCTTTTTCTTTTTTCCCATGTGTGGTTAAATTTTAGTTTCCATTGTGGCAACTCTGATTTAAAAGACGTTTTTCGAGGTACAATTTTACGCCTCTTCAGAACAGACGACTCTATTGGCACCCCTGTCCCGTGCCAATTTGCCCTTTTTCCTGCTCAGCCAAAAACCGGGACGGGGGTGGGGCTCTTTGTGCGGGGCATTACTTGAGTCCTCAACAACATACAACTTTAAAAACACTATAGCTCGATGAATGTGGTGTTGGAATTATGTGCATGAGAAGTCTTTGTTTTCAGGTCACACCTGACAGTGCTCAGGGTTTACTCCTGGCTCTGTGCTCAGGAATCACTCTTGGTGGTGCTTAGAGACCTTATAGGGACCACTTGCCTTGCATGTGCCCAACCCAGGTTCAATCCCCAGCAAATCATATGGTCCCCCAAACACCGCCAGGAGTAATTCCTGAGTGCTGAGACAGAAGTAATCCCTAAGCACGGTCATGTGTGAACCCCCTAAGAAAAAAGACCCTCAAATAAAAGTTTTGTAAAAATGTTTCACCTAGTGCACCAATCTTTTTACAAGCTCCTCCTCACCATAATGACAATGAGGAAGATCTCCAGAGAAACCCAATGTCTTTGGGAGGAAAAATCATGCTGATTAGAAGTTACTCTAGAGATGATGAAACATGAAAACTAGAGTGGGTAGGACACTCGCCTGGAATGCAAATAATGTAGGTTCAATTCCCAGCATTCCACATGGTCCCTAGCACTGCCAGAAGTGATTCCTGAGCATCACTGGGTGTGCCCCCCGCCACACACACAAAAAAGAAAAAGATGATGAAACATAAGAGAAGGAACCTGGGGCTGGAGCGATAGCATAGCGGGTAGGGCATTTGCCTTGCATGCAACCAACCCGCGTTTGATTCCCAG